GTTAGATCGCAGACTGCTGTGCTAGCAATGCGGAAGGCTCCATGGGCGTGGGACCCTCCCGGCCAGGTGTGGGATATAATCTCCTGGTGTGCTCATTTGCTTAAAGCGCAGTATTGGGGTGGGAGTTTCCCGATTTTCCAGGTGTTGTGTGTCTCAGTTCCCCAGGCTAGGAAAAGGGATTCCCTTCTCCCTTGCACTTCCCAGGTGAGGCGATGCCTCGCCCTGCTTCAGCTCTCGCTGGTCGGGCTGCAGCAGCTGACCAGCACCGATCGTCCGGCACTCCCCAGTGAGATGAACCCAGTACCTCAGTTGATAATGCAGAAATCACCTGTTTTTTATGTGGCTCGCGCTGGGAGCTGAAGACTGGAGCTGTTTGTATTCGGCCATCTTCGATATTCCTTTCTTGTATTGTGACAGTAGAGTGGGGGTCATGCTTTAATGCATATTATTTTGACCATTTTTCCCTGTAGGAATCACTTTGTCCTTAGCCACATTCGTGTACTTGTCTCAGCCCATTCACAAAGCCTTCTGTTATCCTCTGCAAGTCTATTGTCTGACTGGGTCCAGAGAGTAAACATTTCCTTCTTTTGAAAAGAAGTAAACATTGTGTTTCATGTGATAATTAGGAAACTTCTAAAAGATATAAAGTAGAAACACAGTTTGTAGCATGACTCTCTGTAGGGTTAATGTGAAACTTGTATTTCTGTAATTGTGAGAAATGAATGATTATATTAATTTAGAAAATCTGCTTAGAAGGACTATGCTTATTTTAATATTAAGTATGAATCATTTCAGAGGTTAATTCTGAATGTCGTATACCTACATATTAAGGGTTCAGTAAGTTTATTAGATATGATTTAATATAAATTACCAACTCTAGCCTATTGAGGGAGTACTTTGAAAATACATTGCACCAATCCCTAAGCACGTTTTCCTTTCTTATTTATTGCATACTTTACGTGTTGTAATATGCATACAGAAAATTCCTTTAGTACATATAATTGACAGTGGAGGAATATCAATTAGTATTACTAGTAAAAATATCAATAAAATCAGTGATTAAATATAGTTTGGCAAGAAGACTGAATAAAATTAAAGTTACATGATTCAAATATTTATGTTTTTAAAATAGCACAAATTATTAACTTTTATACATTCATATATTTATGTAAACTTTCAGTTACAGGTTTTAAGTGTGCTGTACTTGTGTGTTAAAAACAAATAAGAAAATTGACAATAAAAACCTAAAATGAAAACGGATCCTAAATCTGCAATAATAAAGATAGCAATAAAGGCTTTTTTCTGGGCTATGTGTTATTTCATAGCAAGGATAATATCTTATTAATTTTTGTAATTATCTTCCAATTCCTAGGAGTGGGACTACTGTGACTAACATTTCGTAAATTACTCAGTAATTCTTTGATAAGCAATGAAATTAAGAAAACTCTGTGCTTTTAAAGTTAAAAAAACATGTTTCATCTGGTCGACTTATAAGTGAAATAGAAATGATCTCTCCTTAGTGTTGTGTAAAACTATGTTCTAGTGTTGATTATTTAATACATTCTGGTTTGAATTATAATTTGATACTTCCCCAAATAGGGATTTCACATCTGTCTAAGATCACTGACTATTAAAATTGCAATAGTAATTTATAAAAACTGCATTGACAGAAAATTAACTACATACTGAGGGCTTATAATTTGCTGAATACTTAAATACCAATATTTATACTTAATTAATACTTAATTACCAATAAGTATTCAGCAAGTTGTAAGCTCTTAGTATATAATTTTCTTGTTTGTGTTCTTGTTTTTAGATATATTATTAGATTTTTCTTGCTGTATGAAGTCACATGTATAAAGTGTGCAGCTCTAGCTATTTTGAATCTTGCATCTACAATTATTAACAGATAGGTTTAATTCATAGTATTTTTAAAGGTGAAATCTTTTCAGCTTTATAATTATCATTGTCATTTTGCTTTAATTTGTCCTTCTTAGTTCATGTGTTATGTGCAAAGTGACTTCAAGCTGTGTATTCTTCTAGACTTGGCCAAACACCCTGTTAATATATGTCATGAAATTACAGTATAGGTTTAATACTAGTTGTTAAAAGTTAATAGAAAAGTTGCATCTTTAAGATATAATTATTTTTAATGGTTTACCCCCAAGAAAGTAGATATTCAGAAGCAATTAACATGCTGCATATGGTTTTAAATGCATCTAATACATTAACATTCTTATAATTTTAGGGGTCGAACTGGAAAAATTAGAGTGCAGAGTCTGAAGATTGGATTGATGTCTCTCTCCAAAGGTCTCTTGGAAGAAAAGTACAGATGTATGTAAGAGCTTTCATATACCAACAGTGTTTTGAGTAATAATAATGATTATAACAATTTACTGGAAACTTACATTATATAATTTGTTAGTAGTAATAGTTCTCTCTCTTTTTTTTAAACCTTACTGTGCCTATACTAAGTTGGACAAAAGGTGGCAGTGCACAGACTTGGGGCTTTATGTGAAATGAAAAACTGATTATAACTAAGAGATGAGGTGCCTGGATGGAGTGAGACCTAACTACAAATTATATTTCATTTAATTCTTAGAATAATCCCTCCATAATGTAAGCATTGGGATTTCCATTTTTCTGGCTGAGAAAATTAATGCTGAGATAGGTTAAGAAACTAGTCTAAGACTGCAGAGCCAATAAGGGATGTGGCTAGAATTAGATACTAGGTTTTTCTGACTCCAAAGCCCAAACTTTTTTATTTCTTTATACTTCCAATGCTTAAAAGAAAAAGATGAACTAGAACCTTTATGGACATAGATGATAATCCTAAATAAACATATTTTACCATTGTGACAAAATAAAACATGATTTTTAAATTTTTGTTATATTTAGATTTACCAAATAAATCAACAGTGTTCCTTTATCTGTCAGTTGATGAAAGATATCTTGGCTTTGGAAAAGGCTTGTGCTCAGGAGCCAAGGGGACCTGTCTTCAAATTTCTGCCACTTAGTAGCTGAGTGTCTTTGGGCAGGTTATGTGATTTCATTGAATATTGCCAACTAAGAGTATTCCCATTTTACAGTTCAAGAAGCTGAAATCTAGCAAATTTTCTTCAACTGAAACCTGAAGCTAATAATTCCTGCTTGGAAAAGAATTAGGAGTAATGTTTAAGGTACCTAGAAATAGCAGTTGTTGAATAATTGGTAGCAATTGCCACTGAGTCCCCAAACTCTTAACTACTATCACATATATTTTGATTTATTTTTGTCCATAAAATGTGAATTTGATCCCATCATGCTTATTCCCAGATGATTCTTTACAGAGAAATCCATACATCTGTGGGAGAGGATTAGGGATATTCTGTGAATAGAGAGATACTAAAAAACAGTAGGATATTTGATTATAGGCCCTGTAAACTTAGTTCAGTTTTGTATCTTATGTGAACATGAGTACATTTTAATAGCTTTTAATTTCTGGGACTGCTGTGAGGTTATTTGACTTTGAATTTCAGGTCTAGACCGTGATGGCCTGTTTTTCCTACATAGTTTGACAGGAATGTCAGTGAAGAGATGTAGATTTATATGAAATGAAAAGCTGATTGTAAGGTTACAAGATGGGGTGCTATGACGGAGTGAGAGCCTAGTTACCCATGCAGAAGGAGGCTTTGCACAGAGCTTTTGCTTTGTGGCACTTTATCCAGAATTTAAGTAGTTTTCAGAATCATAATCATGAAAAGATGTAATTTCCAAAGCTGAAGAAGTTATCATTTTTATAATGATCAGGAAAGACAAATGTTAATGAAAATATCAATGTTACAAAATTAGAAATGGATTTTTTATCATCTCTGATTTGGGGTTTCTTGTGCTTCTGAAATAATTAGGGTTCTCTGAAAGTACCAGTTATAGTGTAGAACTTACTCTGAAACATATGCAAATTCAACCTCAAAGCTTTCATTGTCTATAATTCAACATTAACTTTCAGATTTTGGCAGGGGAAGCAGAAGCCTCTGCAGTGAAATTTCTCATATTTAATTGAATCCACAAAGTATGCCATTTTAGGACTAATTAAATAAGAAATCTCTTGGGTTTTAATCTTTAATCTAAATCTTTACTGATATATCCAGACTTTGGAATGTCCTGGGGTTTTGTTTTGCTTTTTACTTTGAGGACCTTCACCACTCTGATTCCAGTTTTTATTTCCCCCTTGATATCAGAAACTTCCTCATTATTATTTCCTTTATTAGAATTGATATTCCAGACAGTTTGCTCTTCAAATGCAACGGCAAGGCCGCCATTCAAGATCATCGGTATCTGTCTGAACATTGATTTTATTAATACAATGCCCAATGTCAGTGTCTTAACCCCATAACACTTTTTTCTCTTGGTCCTTTCCTAAGAATATTCCTTGTTTAGGTTCTAACAGTGCCCTGGTCTTTATGCTTATAGCTGGCTAGCTTCCTTGCCTCATCAAAAACACATTTACAGACCAGGCACAGTGGCTTATGCCTATAGTCCTAGCTACTTGGGAGGCTAAGGTGGGAGGATTACTTGAGCCCTGGGAGTCAGAGGCTGCAGTGAGCCATAGTCAGACCACCACACTTCCAGCCTGGATGACAAAGCGAGACCTTAAAAAAAAAAAAAAAAAAATACACATTTTCAAACCATCCTTTTAAATTATCATTAGCATCTCTTATGTGCTGATTTATTGGAATTTGAGTTTTTAGATTATGACTTTCTTATTACCCATTCCTTTACCCTGACATTGCTTTTTGTATCTGACTATAATGTTGAGAATGTGAACTTTTGTAGGAACTTTTGTAAGGATTTATAGAAATATGTCAAAATGTCTAAGGACACTTTTGTCCTTATGTTTTGTGAGTAGTTTTACCTTAATAGTGGCATAGTGGTATAGCCCTATGCCTCAAAAGAGGAAAGTTGGGCATAGTTGATCTTGCTGAAAACGTACACTTTTATGTAAAGATTATTATACATATTCATCAACTTTTATTTACTTAACAGACCTCTTCCCAGTGACTGGTTTAAAATAAACATCATATTAAGACTACTGGATAAATATTTTTGTTTATGATAGCCTTATTTTTTTTAATGGAAAGAAACAAGTAGAGCTCTAACCAAATCTAAGTGAAAAAATTATAATAAAAATGAAATTTATCTTCATTGAATTTGCTTTCCCTATGTATGCTTATAATTAAAGCCATACTTCATTATAATTACTGTGTCAGTATCACTGAGCTTGGTTCAGTTTGAAATTTCACCATTGACAGCATTAGATCTAGCATTATATTCCTTATAAAAAGAGAGAATGGGCCAGGCACAGTGGCTCACGCCTGTAATCCCCAGCACTTTGGGAGGCCGATGTGGGTCAGATCACCTATGGTCGGGAGCTCGAGACTAGTCTGACCAACATGCAGAAACCCTGTCTCTGTAAAAATACAAAACTAGCCAGGCGTGGTGTTACATGCCTGTAATCCTAGCTACTCGGGAGGCTGAGGCGGGAGAATTGATTGAACCCGGGAGGCGGAGGTTGCAGTGATCCGAGATCGTGCCATTGCACTCCAGCCTGGGCAACAAGAGTGACGCTCCATCACAAAAAAAAAAAAAAAAAAAAAAAGAGAGAAAATGATACATTGTGATCTGATATCAGGTACTGTTTGAAAATATTTTTAGAATCCAATTAATATTTACTCCACTTTCTTCTATTCTTGGAAAATTTCACATGAAGAACATTTAGATTTTAAGTGCTTTTGAATTTTTAGAATTTATTTCCAAAAAGTATTAATTTCTATAATGAAATGGATTGTTTGTATTTGAAATTTCTTCCTCTTCCAAAAGTAACTTATCTTAGGATATTAGCTTTATTGTTGAAAATTGTATAATAATTTTGATCTTCAAGGTATTGTATATGGTGAATAAAAGGTAAACCAAGAGTGGACAAAATAAAAGAGTTTTAATTTTATTGAATTAAGAGAATTATAAAACAGATCAGTTTTTTAATGAATGGAAAAACCTAAAAACTTTGTGAAAATATGCACACATTTTAAAATTTGATTAAATGTATTTCGTTACATAAAGTAAAACAAAAACAGTGTTTATAGCTAATAAGGAATGGGAGACTGGCCCAAAAGAGAAAAAGCACACCTTCTTGTACTTTTTAGTGCTTCTTATATAAAATAGATATGAATGTAAAAGTCTTTAAAATAAGTTATAATATACGTACATTTAGTAGAATATTGAATTTAGGAGTGAACACAAAAAGTTGGTAAACAAATCTGTTAAAATTTGAAGGTTTGTTATTTAAGTTACGTTTATTCTTTTATTTTTTGTTTTTAATTTTTTTTGAGTTGGGGTCTTGCTATGTTGCGCAAACTGGTCTCACTCCTGGCTCAAGTGATCCTCCTGCCCTAGTCTCTCCAATAGATGAGATTACAGGCATGCACCACAGCACCCAACTATGTCTATTCCTTTGATGAGTCATGAAGGAAGCTTTATTTTGGCTCATTCTTTCTCAGTAAGAAGGGAATTTCTTATGAAGGTCATAAAATTAATTCATATGGGTTTATTGTATCATTTTAAAAAGGAAATTTGTGTTTACTGATTTATACTATATATGCATGATTTATGTTTATATGTATATATAACCCATTCTTGCAGGAACGGGTTAACTACATGCTTCTTAAAATAATCTAATATCATATGTAATGCAGAATATTAAGATCAGAATATTAAGGTCATTGGAATCCAGGAGGCAGCTAATCAGATTCATGTCCTTCTGAAATTTTTTTAATCTACATGTTTCAGTCCACATTACCAATGATATATTTTAAGTAAAAGAACACTGTAGGCAGATGGAAGTTAACCTCTTGCCTCTCTTTGCAGATCTCTTTAAGGAAGTGGCGGGGCCCACGGAAATGTGTGACCAGAGGCAGCTGGGCCTGTTACTTCATGATGCCATCCAGATACCCCGGCAGCTAGGTGAAGTGGCAGCTTTTGGAGGCAGTAATATTGAGCCTAGTGTTCGCAGCTGCTTCCAACAGGTAAGCACGAAGGATCACTGGTACGCAGGATGTGTTGGGGAAGGGTTTTGAGGATGTTCTGAGACATGGAATAGGGAACTCGGGCTGGATCCAAATGCTGAAAGACTTTGGGTACCATCCAACAAGTGGTATATTTTATCTCCTAAGGCTCATTTGCTTCAAAAAATAGCAACCCTTGCAAAGAGACTTGCTGTTTTTCTTTAATAAAAGCTACAGTGTTTAACCTGTGCCATTAAATGCTGTTCGTTCTGCCCTTTTCCTGGCCTCCTCTCCTACCACTCCTCTCCTTGCTCTCCACTTTCCAGCTGCACTATTTTATTTCCTTGTTTCCTGCCTCAGCAGTGCCTTTAGACCTGTGTCTGCTGTTTAGATATTCTTCCTTCCCCATTGCCCACTAACTCACTTCTCATACCTAATCCTTATTTGATCTTTAGATTTTAGCTTTAACTCTCACATCCTCTGAAAATCTTTCTCTGACCTCTTCAGATAATGCTATATTTTCCTATTATATTCACCTTAATATCTTCCACCTCTTCCTTCTCATACTCAGTACAATTATAATTACACACTGAATTATATAATTCATGGCTTAGTGTTTGTTTCTTCCATAGGAACCTAAGCTCCATGAAGACAAGGACTGTGGCTATCATTTTACTGTTGTATCCTATCTTAGTTCGTTCAAGCTGCTCTAACAAAATACCATAAACTGGGTGGCTTTTAAACAACAGAAATTTATTTTCTACAGTTCTGGAGGCTGTCCATGATCAAGGTGCTAGCAGATTCAGTGTCTGCTGAGGGCCCACCTTCTAGTTCATTGCAACCTTTCTTGCTGTTTCCTCATATGATGGAAGAAGTGAATGATCTGTCTTGGGCCTCTTTTTTTGTTTGTTTGTTTTATACTTTAAGTTCTGGCGTACATGTGCAGATTTGTTGCATAGGTATACACGTGCCATGGTTGTTTGCTGCACCCATCAACCCATAATCTACATTAGATATTTCCCCTAATGCTGTCCCCTAGCCCCCCAACCCCTGACAGGCCCCAGTGTGTGATATTCCCCTCCCTGTGTCCATGTGTTCTCATTGTTCAACTCCCACTTATGAGTGAGAATATGTGGTGGTTGGTTTTCTGTTCTTGTGTTAGTTTGCTGAGAATGATGGTTTCCAGCTTCATCCATGTCCCTTCAAAGGACATGAACTCATCCTTTTTTTTATGGCTACATAGTATTCCATGGTGTATATGTGCCACATTTTCTTTATCCAGTCTATCATTGATGGGCTTTTGGTTCCAACTCTTTGCTATTGTGGATAGTGCTGCAGTAAACATATGTGTGCATGTGTCTTTATAGTAGAATGATTTATAATCCTGTGGGATATATACCTAGTAATGGGATTTCTGGGTCAAATGGTATTTCTGGTTCTAGATCCTTGAGGAATTGCCACACTGTCTTCCACAATGGCTGAACTAATTTACATTCCCACCAACAGTGTAAAAATGTTCCTGTTTCTCCACATCCTATCCAGTGTCTGTTGTTTCCTGCCTTTTTAATGATTGCCATTCTAACTGGCATGAGATGGTATCTCATTGTGGTTTTGATTTGCATTTCTCTGATGGCCAGTTGACCAGTGATGATGAGCTTTTTTTCATATGTTTGTTGGTTGCGTAAATGTCTTCTTTTGAGAAGTGTCTGTTCATATCCTTCACCCACTTTTTTGATGGCATTGTTTGTTTTTTCTTGTAAATTTGTTGAAGTTCTTTGTGGATTCTCGATATTAGCTCTTTGTCAGATGGATAGATTTTGAAAATTTTCTCCCATTTTGTAGGTTGCCTGTTCACTCTGATGACAGTTTGGTTTGTTTGTTTGTTTGTTTGTTTGTTTGTTTTGCTGTGCCTTTTGTTGCCATTGCTTTTGGTGTTTTAGTCATGAAGTCTTTGCCCATGACTATGTCCTCAATGGTATTGCCTAGATTTTCATCTAGGGTTTTTATGGTTTTAGGTATTACATTTAAGCCTTTAATCCATCTTGAGTTAATTTTTGTATAAGGTGTAAGGAAGAGGTCCAGTTTCAGTTTTCTGCATATGGCTGGCCAGTTTTCACAACACCATTTATTAAATAGGGAATTCTTTCCCCGTTGTTTTTCTCAGGTTTGTCAAAGATCAGATGGTTGTAGATATGTGGTGTTATTTCTGAGGTCTTGGGCCTCTTGCATAAGGGCACTAACCCCATTCAAGAGAGCTCCACCCTCAAGACCTAATCATTTCCTAAAGGCTCTACCTCCTTGTACCATCTCCTAAGTGGTTAGGTTTTTAGCATATGAGTTTTGGGGGACCAAAAACATTCAGACTATTAGATTTCCTGCACTTTGAGCATCATACCTACTTTAATAAGTATCTGCTAAATAACTGAATTAAAATGTCCTGAGTTCTTTTTAAGACAAGATTTTAAATATATATATACATTAAAGATGTTATTAAAGTATCAGTTTTTTCTTTGAAACTATGCATACAAAAGAAAGATACACAAAGTTTTATACTGATCTAAGTTACTAATTTTAAACTGAGAAAGCACTTTAGTTTCTTTTTAATGTATACTGCATATAAAGACATTTTAGAAATGTTACTACTGATGTTATACATATGCATAAAGTACAAGTCTACAGATATTTTGGCAAAGCATAGCCAGTGATTTATCATTGCTAGAGGAAAAAAAGGCTCACATCATATCTTTGAGGAGAATTGATGTCATGGGTTATTACATTTTATAATGGCCCTTTTTCTTGTTTTAGAAATACAAAAAATATCAAATGCAAATTCTAAATATGATTTATAGTTATACATGTAGGTTCACAGAATAACCTCAACAGCAACAGGAGGATGAAATTGTTAGAAATTTTAGCTTTGCACATAGGAAAATTGCTTAGTTTTGGGACTTATAGAGGGATTGGGGAGTTTTATGTAATTTATCCTGATAAATTTGAAAATCCTGCAAAGTACATCCATAGCAATATGCTTCCCATGTGATGATATAATGGGACTGGAGCAAGCAGGACACACAAAAATGACAGCTTTTATTTAGCATTTATACTGGCCTTCAAGTTTGTAAAATTATCAGTGAGTCTTTCACAAGTTTTTACTGTCTTAGATGATTTTTTTTTTTTTTTTTTTGAGATAGAGTCTTGCTCTGTCACCCAGGCTGGAGTGCAGTGGCATGATCTCGGCTCACTGCAACCTCCACCTCCCAGATTCAAGCAGTTTCTCCTGCCTCAGCCTCCCGAGTAGCTGGGACTACAGGTGCATGCCACCATGCCCAGCTAATTTTGTGTGTGTGTGTTTTAGTAGAGACGGGGTTTCACCGTGTTGCCTAGGCTGGTGTCAAACTCCTGAGCTCAGGCAATCTGCCCACCTTGGCCTCCCAAAGTGCTAGGATTACAGGCTTAAGCCACCACGCCTGGCCGAACGAGTTTTATAGAATTATTTATGTAAAAAGATTACTTTGAATTGGGTGGTTTTGGTTTTTGCTTTTGTTTCTTTCAAAAGCTGAGTATATTGAAGTCTTGGTATTTTTTTACTTCTTCCAATGTGACAATTTCTGCTTTTTCTACTGATAAGTTCTAGAATTTTCTTGACTTGAAGAACCTTAAAGCATTGTGACTTAACTGACATGGAAAGAGTTACATAGTTTCCTCTTCTGCACAAATTTTCAGAAGATTATGAAGCAACAACACTTGCTACCATTTAAATGAAGACATTTCTTCACTTTTAATATATATATCTTTTTTCACCAGAATAACAATAAACCAGAAATAAGTGTGAAAGAGTTTATAGATTGGATGCGTTTGGAACCACAGTCCATGGTTTGGCTGCCAGTTTTACATCGAGTGGCAGCAGCAGAGACTGCAAAACATCAGGCCAAATGCAACATCTGCAAAGAATGTCCAATTGTCGGGTTCAGGTAAGGTGTGCCAGTGCTGGAGGAGGCTATTTTCTGTTCCCTTTGCGTAATCTCAGTGGTACGTCTATCCTCCATTCCCATTTGGAGGTTTGCCTTCTAAATAAATGGTATGTTCAGCATGTCTCATCTATCAAAAAGTAGCATTTCTTCTTATAACTACTACATGAAGCATATTTTATTATTGTTGCTATTATTATTTTCATTTACACTACTTTGGTCAGAACCAGAGATTTCTATGAATGTCCATTTACTTAGGTCACAAAAATGATTCATGCATGAAAATTGTATGGCTGATTATAAATAGATAACCCTGATGGAATTTGGTGAATATTCTGAGGTCTTTGGGGTCAAACTTAGCAAACAGGAAGCAATGTTTAATTACCAGCTGAGAAGTAACCAAATTACTTTGTGTTACTTCTGCCAAGTTTGATATGAAGTACATTAACCCGACTTCTTCCCATGAGGAGCACTGCTGAATGCCATACTTTAATGTAATCAGTGTTTCAGACTCTTCAGTTTGTGACCCCAAAGCTGACAGTGCAGAGTCTATGGTTTGTCCTAAGGTGGAGATTTTTGGACATCCTGATCCACTCCTCTTAACATAGGTATGCATTTGACCTCTTGAATATATTATATTTCTCTTCTGGGGGGAATCTGGAAAATATCCCCAGTTTAATTTGGAAACCTTTTATGAAACAACATAAGCCTACTCAGTAGGGAAATTCAAGATTTTATGTGTCTCTGTTTTTGTTTTTTTCTTTTTCTGACCAAGTCTTTCTCTGCCACCCAAGCTGGTATGCAGTGGCACGATCTTGGCTCACTTCAACCTCTGCCTCCCGAGTTCACACGATTCCCCTGCCTCAGCCTTCCGAGTAGCTGGGACTACAGGCGCATGCCACCACACCCAGCTAATTTTTGTATTTTTAGTAGATACTGGGTTCCACCATGTTGGCCAGGCTGGTCTTGAACTCCCAACCATGTGATCTGTCCTCCTTGGCCTCCCAAAGTGCTGGGATTTCAGGCGTGAGCCACCATGCGTGGCCTTATGTGTTTCTTTTATTCGTACCTGAAGACAAAGTGCCAAGATGGTGATTCTCTGAGGGAGAGTCAAATCAGGAGGACTGGGATTGGTTGTTGTTACATATAATATCAGTATTAGTATCTTGAATTAAACAGAATTGCTTTCATTTGACTGACTTTATTATCATAATACTTTGTATGAAGCATATCATTGCATTCTTTGTGGATGGCTAACATAAGAAATGGAAATTCAAAAGTTCTCTCGCGCATTATGGTGTAGTTGGGAAGACTAAAGTATTGTGAGGTCAGAGGGCCTTGCTGCTATGCATTCTAAGAGGATGAAAAGACAGGTAGGTAGTGTGAAGTAGAGCGAGCATTAGCCTAGCAGACAGCCAGGGTAATAGATGCCCCAGTGGAATTCAAAGCACAAATCTTGGAAGAGAAAAATGGTAAAGTCACAGTTTAAATGCAGCAGGGTTCTTGGAATGGCTGCATTTGGAGTATCTGGTAGACATAGGTGTACGGGAGAGGGAATAGCTGGAATGTGGCAAGGTCGGTCTACTACTCGGAAGATAATTCAAATGAGAGTCATCAAAGCTAATAGTCACTGCTACTTATTGTTTACTTTATGCCAGACAATGTGCTAAGAAGTGTTGTATTTGTTATTTTAGTCACTTTTCATAAAAACTCTGTAAGATTGGGAGTATTACCTCTACCTAAAGGAACTAAGACTCCAAGATTAGTCAACTTGCCAAGGCCAGGCAGCCGACTGTGCAGAGACAAAGTTAGGATTCAAATCCAGATCGCTTTGGTTCTCCAGTTTGTGTTCTTAATCAAGATGGTTTTAAAAAGCAGATTAGATTTTTAGGAGAGGAGAGATTTAATATTAAGAAGTAATGAAATGGTATTGAAAGAGCAATTGATTTAAGTAAGGCATTAATTATTAGATCAAAAATATTACTCTGGATATAAACTGTAATGTGAAGATGGGAAATATCCACATTAATTGACTTGGGAAGAGACTGCCATATATATATATATATATATGTATGTATGTATGTGTATATATATATGTATGTATGTATATGTATAATCTGCCATATATGGTCATTGGTATAACCTAGAGATGCCATGAGGGACCATATTTCTCAGCATCTGATGGATGTGAAAAGTGAAGGACAGGATAAAATACTCTAAAAACATTAAATATTTGAATGACCTTTAAAGTTTCATTTCTTAAATTAAAAAGGCCTGAAGCAACTATGAAGAATATTAAGATTTAACTGAGTTGTGGGTACATGGATGTTTATTATATTCTCCCTACTTTTCAATTAACTTGAAATATTTCAAAAGAAAAATATGTAAGAGCAATTATAAAGAGTGAACAACCTGACGTGTTAAATTTCAAGGGTTTAAGTTTCTGCTAGTACTATCAAATTGACCTGTAGATGTCTCTATGACAGAGATATGAAGTTGACAAGCAGATCAGAGATTAAGGTTATGGGAGGATGTTCAGGAGATAGTGTATTGAGAAGTAGCTCTGGAGTCAGGCTACTTGGACTTGAATCCTGGATCTATTGTTTGGCACTGAGACTTTGAATAAGATACTTGGCCTTCTTGAACCTGAGTTTCTTTAACTTCAGATTCTATGAGTGTTTCCTTATAGTAGTAGTAAATACATGAAAGTGTCTAGGGCAGTACCTATCACAGAGTAGACATTCAGTAAATGTTGGCTTTTTTTGTTACTACCAATAACATCATTAGTGTGATAGTAGGAAAACCTATGAATGTATTGTTGAACATTTCCATTAAGTGGAAATGCCGGAAAAACCTGGACAATGCTGTTACTCAGTAAAAGGCAGGATTAGAGAGAGTTATAGTAAGGGAGAGAACAGGATTCTTCAGAGAAGTAAAGAAGCATAGTGTTGTGGAAATCAAAAGAGAAGGCTTTAGCAAGATGGTAGAGGTGTTAGGTGCATCAGAAAGATTCTTTGAATCAGAAGTCATTGGGAATCTTAGAGAGGATTCTATCCATGTCATTATAAAGATGGCTCAGGAAAATACATAGGCTAGTATGTGCAAACAACTTGTTTAAAAAATCTAACTATAACTTAAAGAAAATATGTCAGGATATTGAAAATTGGAAGATGGTAAGTGATATATTGTCTTCCTTTTACTTGCATGTATATTTTTCCTGTTTTCTACATTGAGAATGTAGTACATCTAAAATTTTTAATTTTTGAATGAAAGAGAAATATGTCCAGAGTTGATGCCTGGTTTAGGCACAAGGCCAAGCAAAGGTTTCTTCAAGCTAATGGTAACTTAATTATTGCACAAAGATTACCCATGAAGGGAATGAATAAAAGAACAATTCCAATAGTAAAATGGGGTCCAATTGGAATAGGTCTGATTAGCTTAGTTGTAAAAAGATGCATCTTTCTCTGTGTCTTCAGAGAATGAATGGAAAGGCAAATAGAGAAATAAAGATAGAGAAATATGTCTATTATAGAATAATCTTATATAATCTTAACTTCATTCAGACTGTCTCTCTATCAAGCTTCTACCATACATTTATATATATTTAAAATATTCATTTTCCCTGAACTTTTATAAATACTGCTAGAGGTTTTCACTAATTACCTCCAAATTAAATGTTAATGAAATCTTAGATTTACAGAGTGTTTTGTAAGCTGGGAATTTTTTCAGTTAGAATCATACACAGTTGCTTAATAGTGGTCACATAAATACATTAGAGCTTTAGTTCTCTTTCTTGTAAACAAAGTGACGGTAGGTAATCCAAGACTGTTTTTTTGTGCCCACCTGGGCCCTTAGCTCTGTTTTCATGCACTGTCATTCCTAACATGTGGCTTCCATCTTCAAAATCACTTCATGCTAACAAAGTGACTCTTCGGGATGTCAGATTCATTTTTCCAGTGGGGAGGAAGAGGGAGCATGCCTCTTCCCAACTGAGTCAGTCTCTTGAAATTCCAATTAGAATCCTCACCTAATAACTTTGGTTTCTATTGCACTGGTCACCACCATCAGCAAGAGAGGCTAAGAAACAGCAATTTTCTCAAGGCTCATTGCTAAAATGTGCTAACAGCACAAGGATATGTTACCAATGAAAAAGGAAGAATGGCTATCTGCCAAGGGAGTATTCAGCAGAAGATAAAATTCCATTTAGAAAGAAGATGTCAATCATACCTGTCAAGCCATGCTGATAGACCAAGAGATGTTGTTAGTGTATGTGATTGATTCAAACCAGTAGCTTCCTTGGCAAAAGTAAACTGGCTGTAGTATACACAGAATGATTTCTTTAAGATTGATTTGCAAGTGATTTTTCAGGTCATTCTAGAAGCTACTCAGCACTTAGTAGTTTATAGCCACACAACCTTTAAATTTTGCTTCCATTTTCATTCTGTTGGTTGTATCATTTAATTTTTTTCTGTAGATGTGGGTATAATTTATGTTCTTAGTTCTACCAGCAATGCTGACAGAATATATTTGGGAGAAGATGTTTTCCACTCAGACTGGTAGAAACTGGTCATCTAAGGTTTTGCTTTTGTAAGTAAGATTCTACAAGTAGAAGTCAATGTGCAGTGTCATTCTTATGCCAGAGATTTTAAAACACCATTTCCATTCAAGGATGCATTGTGATAAAGGCTCTATTTTGTTTTTCCTTTGTTACACAGTATTTCTTGATTTCTTTTTTTTTCTAGTGACTAATTTAAACCAAATATAAAAGTGCTCATTGTTAAAAACTGTATCTTTGTGAAGGAATTTTAAAATTCATTTCTTATTGATGGTGTAATTGATATTTTAAAATTTGATGTTTCAACTTAATAGATATAATTATTTTCTTGTCCATCATTTTCCATTCATATTCAAACATTAAAAGAAATCTTCTGACATGCGTATTTGTCTCCCTTGAGACTTGAACTCCAAAATTTGATTTTTTTTTTTATTTTTTATTTTTTGGTAATTTGAATGAATGAAGTTTCTTACCACAAATTTGGACTAAATAATAGTAATACTAGCCAATAAATTTTCTTTTCTTTCCTCTAGGTATAGAAGCCTTAAGCATTTTAACTACGATGTCTGCCAGAGTTGTTTCTTTTCGGGTCGAACAGCAAAAGGTCACAAATTACATTACCCAATGGTGGAATATTGTATACCTGTGAGTACTAACCCACTGTTTTGTTTTTGATACATTGCCATTGAATTAACTAATACCTAAAATGTTATTGTTTATTTAGACTTAATCTTTTTTGAAAAAATATCACTTTGAAGATTATATTTTTTGTTTTAAGTAAACTCGTTTATGTTGAATTAATTAGTGCAGAAAAAAATACTAACTTTTTTTAACATCTATGTTTTGATTTTAAACTTTTTTGGTAGCAAATTCTTTTAAGAGCTGATACTGACCTGCATTGAAAATGATATTATGTAATGAAAAATCATGTTTCTTTTAGACATATTTATGCTTTCATAGTTAAATACTATATTCATATTAGCAAAAATACAGAAAATGGAGATATTAAAAATATAATTCCTAATTATAGCTTCTATATAAACTACCCTCTAATTTTTCCATGTCTCTGGTTTTAAGATTCTATTCATATTTATATTTATATTTATATATTTTGTTCCTGATATTTTTTACTCGACATTCCATTTTGTCACACAGTATAATCTTTTTTTAGTCACAAAATTTTTAATTGAGTGAATTACTACATTTTACCTAACCATTCCCTTAAATTTGGATATTTCGTTTATTTTCAATTTTGTGATGTTATAAATAACACTTTTACAAGTATCTTTGTGAAGGTAGCTCATTCCAGATATTATATAAATTACATTGCAATAGAATAAAGCACTATAAGTAGGTTATTTGAGTCAATGAATATGAGTATTTTTTATGGTCAAAATACTTGATGTCAAGGTTTTTTTTCAAAAGAGGTTTATCCCACTTTACATTATTATCACACTTTGTTAAAGTTTCAATTTTACTATAGCCCCACCAGCATTGGATATAAGTTCTTGTTTTTCCTTTGATTTACAACTATTTTTTCTTGAAGTTATCCTCATGTTCTATTAATAGCTATTCTTTTACTTCCTTCCAAATAGTGCCCAAATGTATTCATCAAGCTGTCTATTTTCTTTGGTTTAGGGAATTGAGTTACTTGTTTGGATCATAAATTGACAGCAGGGCTGCAATACTTATAAAAGATATACATATAAATCTCACACTCATAGGTATCTTATCTCAAATAAATAAGTGCCCTATGTATGGAGAAGAAATCTCTAGAAAATATTGCTGAAATATAATAGAGGAAGTGTCCATACCACGTAATAGCTTTAACCAGGAAAAAGAAATCTCCCCAAGAAAATTTGTGAGACAACATTTATTACTATTATTAACTTATTTATTCACCCAACAAATTAATATTGAACATTTTGTAGGTGTCAGGCCCTCTTGTCAAAGATAAACAAAACCAGACACTAGTTAAAATGGTAAGGACAGATTTTAATCAATAATACACTGATTATGCACATATACTTCTATTTGTACAGAGGTGACTGGGTGTTTTCAGGAGGGAATAGACTGGGGTAACAAAAGACGGACTTGAGCAGAGGCAAGAAGGTGAAAACTGACCCAGCATTGGTCAGCATCAGTTCTATCAGACCAGCTGTGTCTGTGAGCTGGCAATTGTCAAGAGTTAGGATTCTACCATTCCAGAAAGACTGGGAGACAGGGGCCCTATCCTTCCTGATGATTACACTTCAGAGAAATGACTTTCGGGTCCTTGAGAAAGACACCCCTGAGTTGTTGGAGATACATACACATCTCAAAGGGACAGAGGAAGGATTCCCCATTGTAAGCCCTTTTTAGTAAATGTCCTAAGAAAGAGTGAGCAGGGACCTGTCTTCAGGTGTTGGCTAGAGCGAACAGTAAATTCTTTTGGCAGCTTGGAGTTTGTTTTTCAGGCCGACGCTTTAAGACGGCAGATGCCTTAATGATCCCCTTTTTTAGGGTAATCTAGGGATGTGGCCTTGAACTGTTAGGAATTATGTTCATGTTTGTTGAAGTTTTTTAATGGAGAAGTGGGTGGAAGGGGATGGACAAAATGATTTGTGTTGAAAATTTGCAGTTTTTATAGGTCAAGGCTTCAGTAAAGAACAGAGCTTACTGGAGGCCAACACAAATTTGGTCAAGGAGGGGATCCTTGTCAGTCATTTCAGCTCTGATAATGTATCACAGTATACCCAGAAAGACGAGACTGTGGACTTTCCTGCTACTCTCCCTTTAGGAGGAAGAATGTGTGAGAATGAACAAGGAAACAAATAAATGAGGTTATTATAGATTGCAGTAAGTGCCTTTAAGGAAATGAGTATATAATGAGATAGAATGATTAGAAGGGACACTTTAGATAAAGAAATCAGTAAGGTTTGTCTGAGCTGACATTTGAGTTGAGATCAAAGTTTGAGGGAAATTCAGGCCTGTAAAGAACTAGTAGAAGCATATTTCAGAAAGAAGAAACAGAACATACAGTGGTGTGAGATGGGAAAAAGGTTAGTGTGATTGGGCTACAGAAAGTGGAGCCTGTTCCCCAAGGGGCACGTGGAAAGGAGCACTGGCTACACAACTGGAAGTGCCCAGTGCATAATGAAACTGGGGGGGGGGGCCTTGTTTAACAATTATTAAGACTTTCAAAGTGGCAACATCAGAGCAGTAAATCAAGTTCAAGGTCCTTCTGATTGTAGGGCCGTGTGCAACTGCATAGGTCCAATATATGTGAAGCCCACCCTGAGACTGGGAAAGAGGTGGATATAACCAGGGAACAGAAAGAAACCGGGACAAATTTGACGAAAGAGAAACAATAGTAGGAGATGGAATTAAAAAGAAAGGCAACTATCAGATTGTATAGAACCCCGGGGATCATTGTAAGGAATTTGGATTGGGGAAAAATATCATAGTAATATTTACATGAGTAGCTATTATAGAAATTTAGAAAGCTGATTATAAAATGCTAGTATCAAAATATCATCAAGTAAATATATGTTGTTATAGTAAAGATATACAAAATTACTCTTTTTCTTGGTCTTAAACATATAATAATTCTTAATGGCTTTACAAAACACCCAAACAATTTGAAACCCACATATCTTCATCAGTTGTCATCCAGTGGGTGCATGCTTAAGAATCACTGATACACGTTTGAATTCCACTCTCCAACTACCAATTTTAAATGAAATCTGTAAGTTACCCAAAACTGTTCTTGTTGCATAGTCTTTTAAAAGTCACTGTTACCATTTCCAAGATTGCAGCTTATCCTGCATTATACAAGGATAGCTTCATTTTTCAAGATATCCTTTGCCCATTTCTGAGGCTTTGTAGTGATCTTATCAACAGCCTACTTATAAATCATCTGTATGACAAGTCACTTTCTGCATTTGACCCTACAACTTTTTGTAAAATAACTAGAAGTATATATTAATTGAATCTTTAAAAAGATGCTTGCATTTAATAGCAATGAATGACCTGATTTAACTGCTTTCTGAAATTTCTTTCTTTTCGCCCACATTCTTTACATTTGCTCTACTGTTTTATTTATGGTTCATCCATCTTTTACTCAACATTTCCTAAAGTCATTTCATGTCTGCCTTAGAAAATGAACTCAAGTGTGGATTTGTTCAGTACAGTGCTAATAAGCACCACTTGAGTGTTAAATGGATTAGACTTTTCCATATGGACCTTGATGTTTACATTCCTCAGAGTGTGTCTCCCTTTTTGGTTAAGAAGATGCTCCAGTCACCTTACTGACTTCATCTCTTTCCTTTTCAAAGTCCTTTACAGCTGACTCTGAATGTTTCTGTTTTTAAGAGCTTTCTGCAATTTGGAAACCTTATTTTAAATCCACAATGCACCCTAAATATTTTGCCAATATATCTGCTTATGATTTATGGTAATGTTTGCCTTTAGCTGTAAGAAGACTAATGGTATATAAATGAAATATCATGACTCATGAAAGTGTTTTATGATATTGATAATTTATATATATATATAAATTATCTGAAGAAATGTAGCAGAATTTTTATTTCTCTAGGAAATGACTTTTTGTCTTATTTCCCCCTACTATTCTATAATCCAAATTTGTACATTTAAGAATTATTTCATTAGGCTTAATAAGAGTTGATCGTCAAGAGACAGCATGACACAGATGACATTTAATGCCTGTCATTATTCTGTCTCCATATGTCCAAATCCTACTTTCTCACAAAAACAGCTCACCTCCCACTTTGTGTGTGAAATCTCCCCCAGCTCCTCCAGTTTTACCCTCATCAAAGCACTTAGTTCAGAGGCCTCTGCCAATAGCCTCTACTTTGCCAATTAACTTTTGATTTTATGTTCCCTTGTATCATTTTCTAACTATGCGGTGTTTTTGTCTTCTCAATTATCTTTTTACCTCCTTGAGGACTGGGATGACTTTTATACTTTTCTCCCTGTGTTAGTTAAATTTGCCTCATAAAAGCCAAATGAGCTCATATCTGAATTTATAAATACTAATTATAGAATATTAAAGCTGGAATTAAAGCTCTAAGAGATCATCTAACTTATCTTTATTTTGAAGAAAAAACTAAGTCTTAGAGAAGGTAAGTGGTTTGTGCAAAGTGGATGGCATGGATTTAGTGACTTAACTCCATTAGGGAAACACACACACACACACACACACGCAGTTGGAAAATAGGAGTTTATATATATATATCCTAGCTGGAATATTATGTTTGTTGAATACCCTTTTACATACCAGGCATTTTGCTAGGAGTTGGAAATACAGAGAAAATATCATGAAGGAGAAAAAATACCTCTATGTGGAGAAATTCAAGACTGTAATTTTTTTTTAGAATGATTAAAAATCAAGACAGTAGTCAATTTTTTTTTCATATTATCCATGCACCACATCTTTGAATTCAGGGATTATTTTTTGTAAATAAATAGTTATGTCTTATATTAAGATGTTCAGATTTAAATTTTTTTATTTATGATGATTTAATTTTGTTGTGAAAATTACCCTACTCAGATCTTTAAAATCATCTTTGTTGTAAGTAACCAAAATTTAATTCAAATGAGAAACATTTTTATATGTTAGGGTATATAAAAGATAGTGTGTGGTT